ACTGCCGGCCACAATGCCCCGGAGGAAAGTGTCTTGGAGAACTCAGCAGCAACCGATGCAAGCCCCAAGCTGCTGGCACTCAAGGCAGTGTTGGCTCCCAGAATTGCAGAGTCCGCCTGAGCCTGGCAAGAATTTCATGGCTTTTCAAAAATTTGTCTACCAGAGTCTACCATGTCTTTTCAAAAACAATACTACAACCCTAAACCAAAACTGGCACAAACAAAGATTGGGAAAACAAAGATGTCAACATATGTTAACCAAACATGTAGCCAACCTGAGCAAAGAAGAGCTCAGAAAGTGCAGCTTGTCGCGATTGTGCCGCCACTCGTCGCTCAGCATCTGCAAAGGTCTTTTCCGCGAGGAGAAAACCTGGGAAGGCATTAGAATGAAGAGGGAAAGAGTGAATGAGGAAATATGAAGAATGAACAGATATTAAAAAAGAATGATGAAACAATGGGATGCAAAGTCAGCGTCGCAAAGAAAATCAAAGGAATAATGAATGATAATTATGTGAGTGATGCAATGAGTGATGCAATGAGTGATGCAATGAGTGATGTGAGATGTGCAGTGTCGGTTACTGCGGTTTGCATCTCTGGGTAGCCAGCTTAGAGCTGCCTCTGCAGCCGCGCTTGCCGACACGATGACATCTACTTCATCGGTTGTGGCCAGAAGGATTGAAGAATTCGGATCGAACCTGATTCGAAACAAAACAATCAAATTCAAGCCCAAAAAGTGCGTTGTTCCCTTCAATCCCCAGATTCACTGCACATCAAGCCCAGATGCAAAGCAAGTGGAAGAAACGCTACGAAGATACTGAACAAAGCCAAAATCAGACGCGATCGCACTCCAACCTCATCTAAGCGCAAAGAAAGCAGGGTTTGAAATGCATGCTCCGGGACGGAGACATTGGTGTAAACATCATAGTTGTGGGATTGAAAGACTTCAGAGACCAAATATATAGATTGAGCCAAGAGTATGAGATTCAGGATGAGAAAACTTGGACTGCAAGTGCTCTCAAAGAAAAAAGTTTGCCAAATGTTTATTGTGACTAATTGTGACTTCCAAATCTGTGCCACAGGACCTCGACTTCATCATCAGTGTTTTGAACTTCGTCGCTCTCATCATCCTTCCGACCAACTTGTTTCAGTCTTTAGTCGCTGAAGATGCTAAAGTTCAAGCAGATATAGCCTCCGTATTTCAGAAGGATTGAGATAATACTGTGGACACCTGAGAAAAAACAGCTGTGATCACAGTTCTTTTTGGGACTTTGCAAAGAAATCCAGACAGAGACAAGCCAATCCAGTTGACCCTACCCATCCTCAACAAGTTGCAGTGCCAGAATCTGCTGATTGTGAAGCCCTCCAGTCCTGCAATGGGTTGCGCAGTTGAGGACGGAGCTTTGAAATCACCAACCTTGGTCCACAACACATTTTGTGTTCTGATGGATTGGATCATCATCGCAGTAAAAAAAAATTGGAACTTGGCTGAGCAATAGACGAAGCTTGGTCATTGGTTGCTACTGCAGCCACTACCTCAAAGGCTGCCGAGTTTCAAAAATAAAACTTGTGTAATTTTTGTTAGTAGCGCCGATTTGCAAAATCAAATGATACCTGGACAGCAATTGTTCACGTCCGGTTGATTTCCTGCAGCGTTTGCACACCTAAGCCATCCAAGTCACTGAACTCAAAGTGAAGAGACGGCCAAGTACCGCCAAGACACCTGGCAGGACAGACGACGCCTGTTGTTATTGAAAACTCAAGCACCAAAATCAAATCCAGCCTGAGTTTCCAGGATCTTCTGGAAATAATTTCACCGTCACCTGAGAAACTATTTTGGTGGAAGTCACAGCCATGCCATGCAAGAGAAAAAATGGAAGCGGTGTCAAAGAGCGGGCGAAGCATAAGGCGAAGCATAAGGCGAAGCATAAGGCGAAGAATAACAGTAGCATGGACACAGGGACTTTGAATCAAGAACAGTGACTTTCCAGTAAGTGTCAAGCAAGTCGGTCTGACTGAATGGAGGCTATCATGTATGTGTTTGCACCAAAGCAGAACGAACACTAGTACATTACATTGCATTACATTACATTCCATTGAATTACATTACATTACAGTACATTGCATTACACTACACTACACTACATTACATTACCATACCTTACCATACCTTCCCCAGGTGCGTAGCCCAGGCTTCCAATTTGGAGGCGGACTGCACCAACGGAAAAGAGGAATAGCCAACAAAACCACCGTCACCATTACCTTACATTACCATACATTACCATACATTACCATACATACATTATCATACATACATTACCATACATACATAACGAAGAGCGCTGAAGGTTTGGTATGGCTCGCACGTTGCCCAATGTTGGAGCGAGACCAAGTCCTGGATGAGTCAAAGATCATGCAGGTCATTGCCACGCGGCAAAGCTGACATTTCGTGCCAGTTCCGAGAGAGACTGGAGCAGCCAATGCCACCATACCAGCCATCGAGGCAAGTCACCGAACGGCACCTTCAGTAGCCTGATCAGGCTCACCCTACGAGCATCTGCATCATTGTCGCTCTGATACTTCTGTGCCCTTGTTGAGATCAGATTCCTTTGCTGGGACACCAAATGACACCAACACTGCTTCCGTCTCTGGCGCTGCTTTCTTTCCCCGTCGGTTCTTCACTTCATCGGATTCATCGGTGCTCTGCACTGAAACACATGCGAGAGCGAACACGATTAACACGATGGCAATGTTCAAGAGCTTCATTCAGCTTCATGACTACGGTCATGACTACAATGGAGTTTGACGAGAGTCACTTTCATTGAAGAGTGCTTTCACGTTCTGGGCCAAAGTCCAGTGATTGCCAGGATCTATTGAGTTTTCAATCACCCAATCGAACCAAAGTTAGTGCCTCTGGAATTATCTACCAGGTCAGTAGGAACAAAGTAGTACTTCTTTCTAGGTCGGAGTTGGAAATATGCGATTCTGAAACTGAAACACGTCTCCGAGGGCCAAACACATGCCGCTGCAAAGATGGCTGTGCATCCAGCCCCAAAGGGCAGGAGGGCTTTCGGAATCTCGGCAAGTGCAAGTTTCCGTTCCTGGAGTTGGCCCCACAGGGATAACGCTGAGAGACGAAAAAAAATTGGACTCTGAAACACGTTGATACCAAAATTTTACGGCAGTAAGTTCCAAGGACACTTACAAGACGTGCACCCACAGCCATTTCCAGCGGCATTCCACAATTCTGGTTCCTGCTCTGCTGATTCTGCAAGGGCCTGGCCAGAAATGTCAATGGAAAAAAAATCAAATCACAAGTGAGGCCCTGGAATTTGCACAGGCCTGTGAGAAACTACACCGGCCAAGTCCAAGCGATTTCCTTAGAAATTTAGAATTGTTTTATAAACAATTTGTAAACAATTCTAAATCCAGAATGTCCTCTGGAGAGACTGCCAGAAAACGGGAGGAAACATACCCTGGAATACTGTTGGAAACTACAACAAAACCATTTGCCATCAAGTCAGTCCTGTAAAACTGATTTTCATCTTACGGTAGTTAACAAATCGTCCTCAATCCAAAGTCATGCAAGGTGTGCATGCTGCAACATGTTCCATGCAAGGCCAAAAACAAAAACCGGTTTGCAGCAAAGTTTCGTTCCAGAACTTTCAGCTACGGATGTGTAGGAAAAAATGGCCTCCGTTGAATGTCCAAAACACGATTCCATTTTTTTTCCTCTACACTCTACATACTCTACATTCAACATCCCTAAATATCCAATGCAAATTCATCCAAATGTGCAGTTTGCAACTCAACAGCATTTATCCACACTTGTTCAATTTGTTTGTTTGGTTTGTTTGTACAAGGATCCGGCACTCGCGATCGCAGGGAGCGCGGCCGCAGACACCCACGATGTATGACCAACAAGTGCAAGAGTCGCCGCAGATACAACCTGAGAAGCGGAAAAGAGCACAAATTTGGCAACCTACCGTAAGAACCCCTCAGTGTGGACACACTGTTTGGGGAATTAAGGCCTTCACCGAAAAAAGGGTGCCACCAGTTGCAACTGGAGTTTCTTCACGCAAAGCCTGCAACATTGGACACTACCAAAGACAGAAACTCCCATGCACACACCAATCAACACGAATGCGTTCAAAGAAAACATCAGCTACTTGTATATCCTCTTGATCGCGAAGGATGCTTTCGATCCCCGATCGGAGTCGGCGCGAATCTGATGAAGTTTCCTGGCAGTTCAGATTGTGAGTTCTCTGTTTGTGGACAAAATGTGGTTCCAACTCCAAGTGTTTGTGTTTTTGTTCAAATATTGAAGTGTGTTGACCAGGTGTTGATTCAATTGTGGGCCATCCGTTAGACACACCATTGGTTTGACACTGTAGTTTTAATTGAAACTGCCGTTGGTCAAGAAACTTGAGTTGCAACCAAGATTCAGACCAAGCAGCAAGGTCAGATATCACTTTGGTCTCTGCTCGCTTGCTGGCCCTTATTGCTGCAATGATAATCAATCCCACGTTATACATCATTAAACGTAATTTTGACGCACACTGTGCGATTGTTTTGCAATTTTTCCAAGGCTGAGTTCGCCACTCTGTTTTGCCAAGCGATGGCAAAGATACAAACGTATGGCCGAAACACCAAAGTGCAACAAAACCTGAGCATTGAGCACAATGAAAACATTTTTTTGTGTGATTGACATGTTGTGGCCAAGGAAAAAATATGTTCGGTTCTTGTAAGTCTTTGTGATCGCCTGCAACCCAGCATTTCGGCAAGCATTTACGACGTTGCATTGGCACGGCGCAGATCTTTGGCGCCCAAACAATTCCAGTTTTTTTGAATGTTCACCACCTATCATTCCCGAATGTTCCCCACAAATTTAGTGCAAACAGTTCATTTCTGAACTTTGTATTGGGACTAAATAGATCCGAACCCGAAGTCATGCAATGCACCCGGCATGTTCTCCAAGCAGTTGTTTTTTTATCCTTCTGATAAACAAGTTTCAACCTCGTCAGTTGAAGGCCACCCGTGTACATTTTTTTGTCGCATAATCATTGATGTGCGCAACCGAATTGACTTCAATTCCCTTGATTCATGACATGTTGCGCTGAAGACGACGCACAGGTTTTGACCACAACTGGAAAACAATCCAACAAACAATCTATGCATAAAATGGCAAAGTCCTGGCATGTTATACAGCCATCACATTGGAGTTGCATAAAATCGGCAAAAGCATTCACAATCTACACCATGTTTAACACGTTTTTCACATGTTGACGCATTGCTCATACAAATTTAAATTCAGGTGTTTCGATTGAAAATTGTGGCGTCAGTGGAAATTTGGTTTCATGTTCTGTTCGCCATGTAAACTATACTGTTGTAGCAGTCATTTGCCAGCAATCATTACATGGCTGGTCGCTATGCATATGCGAAAAAGGAAGGTGAAAAACGCACGAAACGATTCACGCTAAACATAGCCGTTAGCCACATGCGGCCGCATGTTAGCCATCCCGGGAATTGACTCCAAAATGCGCGCGGGGCGTGCCGCAACAAAAAAACTAAATGATGAAACTATTTCCAAACGCCGTTCATGCACCTGACACTCACATTGTTTTCACCTGTTGGGATTTGCTGCAGCCAAGATGGCTGTGGGTATGGCACACTAAGCTCGGTCTCGAGGTAGCCAAAGCATCGGAAAAATCGTCAGATAATTCAAGCAGTAACGTAGGTGGCGACAGGGGTGGCAGGTGGGTTGCAAGCGAAAATCACAAAACGACAGCCCACCCGCCCGTCCCTTAATCCAACAGCGGCAGCATTCACTTGAATTGAAGTCACAATTCACTCTGTAAATAAGCCGTTGTCATACATGACATCTAGTTATTTCCAAACGCCGTTCATGCAGCTGACACTCACATTGTTTTCACCTGTTGGGATTTGCTGCAGTTGTTTTCCCCAACTTTATTTCAACTGACAAGCAAATCACATCCAAAGCCTTCTTTGCGTCTTCTGATGCATCCATGAATCCAAGGCGTTTCAAAAATTCACAATCACCACGGGAAGGTGCATCTGCAACATTGCTAAAAGAGCTGATCCTTGAAAGCCAACACAACGTACGTACATGTGTTTCAATCTCGGCAAAACCTGAGCCATTGCATCAACTGTGGAATTGTCTGACACCCCTTTCACAAGGCTGAACTTCGTGCCTTCGTTATCCACATAGAGGAAGCACATTCGATCCTTCAAACAGTCAGACCAAAGTGAATAAACTAGAATCGCACAAAGTGTCTCAGCCTCAAAAATTATCTGCGTCTTGATCGGTTCACCAAGCAAAAGCCTTTGATCCTCGGAAAGTTCACAAGAGAACAAAATTCTGGACCCAGAGAATTTGTCAACAAAGACTCCACCCAATCCGCACACACGTTCACGTGAATCACGTTCGTAGCAAGCGTCAGTTATAAGCACAATAGCGTTGGAGGGCTGCAGCGACACAAGTCTAGGTTCATCAGACTCGATGAGGCTGAGAAAGACTTTCAAGAATGTGGCATCCCTAACAGAAATCTTCGTCCTCCTTCTACATGCAAAGTCGCGCAAGCAAGCTACGTACCTCTTGCCAGTGCGTCCATAGATTTGTGATTTCGCAAGTTGCATCCTTCCACGCAACTTCTGAGCTTCCGTTTGCACAATGAACCCTGCTTCCCACAAGCGCTGTATTTCACCAGAAATCTTCTAAAGTAGAGGCTGTATAATATTGGAAACTTTGCAGACGTAGCGATCTGAAGCTGAAAGGTCAAAGATCACTCCAAGAGCTTCGCATGTTTCACTAAAGGGTTTGCATTTGCGACCTTCTTCTGCGAAGATCCAACCAAGGAGTTTGAACAATGCAACGGCCGAGAGTTCAGAACTTCTGGCCAGCTGAGGAAGGTTAAAAACAATGCAATCATCGAAACATGAAGGCCAGAATAAGCAACAACCGACCACTCCCAACCACCATATCGCTCTTGCGAGCTTGAGGAACGAATGCACACTTTTGATGGCCCCAAAAGGCAATACCTGCGCCTGAAAGGTTTTGCACTGTCCATCTGTAGGATCAAAAACTCTGATGAAGGCCACACGCCTACCAGTTTCATTCAGGCCGACCTGTCTGTAGGCGCTCGATAAATCGAACGTCCTTGCCAACAACTTTGGATTCATGCCAGCGCCCTTTGAACAAGAAAACCAACGCAATATCGCCGCACAAGCAACATCGACCGTGTGCAAGACCGGTGACTCAAACACCGTAGTTCCATTAACAGATGATTCACTGAAATCGTCAATCAAACGAATTTTATGTTTTTGTCTGAGTCCAAATCTTTTCGAGATAGGTGCATCGACGGGCACTTCTCCAAGAGGAATTGGGCCAAAAAGCCAGCCTCTATCTCTTGCTTCCAGCGTCTGTTTCCAAACTTCTGTATCAACTTCCAAGTCACCAGACCCTTTTGGCTCCAAGAGTAAGCCATCTCTCCTGAGTTCAGATTGGACCTTCAACGCCTCCCGAGTCAACAACGCAGGAGTAAACTCGAAGGGGAGCATCCCCGTTTCAACCACTTCACCAGTCAACGAGGCCCCAATTAGCAGCTCATCCACCACCCCTTTGTCAGGAAAATCATGGAATTCAAGCATTTCAGCAAACAGTGCAATGCGCTTACCTCGAATTGCCCTTTCAACTGTACTGTCCATATGGCTCCTCAAGTCTTCTTCAGCACCTTCCAGTTCTTTCACTCTGCGGCTGTGGTTCCACTTTTTGAAAAAAAATTCAGCTCTACGCTTTGCAACAGCATGTAAACCATTGTTAGCCACGAAGGAAATAACTCCCGACAGTACCTCAAGCAAGGCTAGTTCAGGGCTCAACGGGTGTTGAATCTCACAAGCCTTCCAAGAATTCATCAGGCTCCCATTGCACTCCAAATATCTTCACCTTGGTAAACGCAAACTTGAAAACCTGCAAGTCGCCAAAATTCAAACAAACATCCCAAACTGCAAGCTCAGTCTTCACTCTTTGCAATACTTCCGGATTGCTCCAAAGTTGGTCCACGCCGAATGTACCCCCCAGAGAAAATTCGTGGAGCAGCTTGCAAGGGGTCAATGCAACCGGTTACTCAGGCCAAACTTGTTGAGAATCACGGAAAAATAACAGCAATTTCGATTTGTACGGAGAAATCAGTGGTGGAAGCCGCAATGATTTGGATTGTTCAGCTGTGGCTGCACGTGATGCATGTTGCATGGAAATCTTTGCAGAAAACTTCAAACCAATTTCACTCAACCTCAAAATGAACGAATGCACTATGGCTTCGCACAACAAAACTGGATAATGTTTTTCAAGCGATGTTGCATGAACGCGTTTGGAGGAACCTTGTCTGACCAAGCCCCAGGGTTCGTGCTCATGGTCTCCTTGACAGACTTCAGCAATGGTCTCAACTTGCGGGAAATTGCCCCCAAACGCGTCCACTTAGGGCGTTTGCCTCCATAAGCACACGCCTGATGCTCCGCAAAGAAGAGCTGGTTGGACTCGGGGTTTCGGCCCACGCAGTGGTGAGCCAAACAATGAATCGCGTGGATATTCCACTATGAATAATTTATTCAACTTACAAGATTCTTCCAAAAGCTCAGCTGTGAATGCATACAGTATGTTGGCTGCGCTCACCTTCAACAAGCCCACGCCTTTCAAAGTGTTCTAACCGTGAAAACTTTGCACCGCTAAGTTTTGCCCTGAAAACCAAAACAAACCCAAGTTTATACCCAAAGGCCCAAAGGATTTCAAACGTGAGTCAAACTTTCCGTGCTCTCTCAAATCACTCCAGACAACAAGCAACGCTTCAACACACACTCTGTTTCTCTCGCTCGGGCTTGAGCCAACGAGTATCGTTGGGTATTCAGTTCAAATACTGTTCAAAGGTCACCAAAACCAAGGAGTGGTTTTTGTGCAAACGGCAAACTGGATTCCAGTCTTGACGAAATTCCGAAAAGCGATCCACTAAGGATCAAAAGCTTTCATTTTTCTCTAAAACTGTTGAAATGTTTCCAAAAATTTCAAAAACGGTTCGGTTTCCTAAACAAACATCAAAACTCTCAACTACAAAACATAACGAGTGCAACCAGTTTCGGTTGTGCTCGTTAAGCATCATGAAGCATCAATTTACTCGTTGAGCATCAAAAGCGTCCAAAAGTACATCATCCGCAGATGATATTCGCTCAAATCTCAACTACGCAGTATGATACATTCATTCACGAGCTTGTCATACCAAAAACAAATCATCCGAAGATGATATTCAGTAAAATCTCAACTACGCAACGTGATGCGCTCGTTCACAAGCTTGTCGACCATCAACACAACCAAATACGAAGTAATATGCATGCAACTGATCTCACAGCGTCCACTGATGTAGATTTTCACACCCCCTTTCGATGAGAGGTCAGAATGGAAACCTTTGTCCAGGACGTAGTGCAGTCCATATGCATTCCAGAAATGTACATGGCGTCCCATCCCATTTCAGACAAAAACTAACTGGCTTCTGCAGCAGACGGAGACAGATATCCTGGCGTATCTGAAGCCGAAGAAGCAGCTCTTCGCTGACGAAGTACTGAATCTCGCATAGAATCTCCAGGTGTACACATGCAGTGCACTTCAAATATTCAGTCACTCGAAGATTCTTGAAAGTACGACAATATCGGGTCAAATGAAACTTCTGTCCTCGTTCAGAGACAAAAATACCTTGCCCAGTCTCAAAAGTCGTAGATGAATTGCGGCAAACTTCACAAATTG